TTCAAATCTGCTGCCTGGATGTTGAGGACTGCGAAGCAGTAGTCGAGGAGACGGACTGTCTTCTCCTGGAGGTTTTCTGTCTACGGCTCTGCTGGTCATAAAACCTGTTGCGCTGAGTGTGTGGAGGGGTTCGGAATCGCTGCTGAGTTTGGTAAGTGATTTGTCATCTCTTGTTCCTACGTGTGTGGATACCTAGGGATTGTAAAGTAGCCCTGGAGTCTTTCAGAGTGTCTGTCTTGTCTGCGAAGAGCTTGGCACCTTCAAACGATAAGTCCTCTACAGTGGACTGTACTGGCTTTGGAAAGCTAGACAGGTGAAGCCAGGAAGCTCTCCTCATAACATCTGCTGTGGCTATGGATCTCACTGCAGAATCCGCAGAGTCGAGGGCAGCTTGAAGTGCTGTTCTAGTGATGAGGTGACCCTCCGTAATGATGGCTTTGTACTGTTCTCTTTTGTCTTCAGGAATAAAGTTTGTACATTTGGAAAGGCTTGCGCAGTTATTGTGATTGTATTTTGCCAACAGGGCCTCATAATTGGCAATTCTCAATTGTAATGTCACAGTTGAGTATGCTTTGCGACCAAACGGATCAAGCCATTTACAGTCTTTGTTGTATGGGGTATTCCTATAGTGCTGTTGCTTGCCCCTTTCATTTACTGCATCTATAACCAGCGAATTTGGCATTGGATGGGAGAAGAGAAATTCAGTGCCTTTGGCTGGTATGTAATATTTCTTATCGGATCTTGTACAGGTAGCTGGAATCATTGCTGGGGTTTGCCAGAGTAATTTGACAGGATCCATAATTGCCTCATTCAAGGGGAGGGCGATTTTGGATGAAGTGGACGTATGTAATATGTCCACTAACTTGTGGCGTGATTTCTGGACCTCTCTCAGAGAAATGTCAAGGGACGCTGCCACTCTCTTGAAGAGATCCTGAAACTGCCTGAAATCCTCCGTTGTGGTGGGGGTGGAGGCATAAGTGCATCACCCAGGGAGGAAGAGGAAAGATGAGTGTTGGTTATGTTATCTGGATCCAAGAATTCTTCCTGTTCATCGACCCCCTGTTTGGAGACACTAGGGGGTGCGTGTGATGGCAGCACAGGTGGTTGGTGTGCACCAGTTGCGGGCAGAGTGTTGGGTGTTCCTGTTGTTGTTGTTGTGGGTATGGTGCCCATGGTTGCCAGAATGGCGACTGTGGTTGGAATGGCAGGGGAGGCATCTAAGGCTGGCTGAACCAGGATTGATTTGCAAAGTTTGCTGAGAAGCCAGTGGCTGGTGGTGCCTGTGTGGCAAGATTAATTACAGGCGTGGAATGTTGAGGCAAGCCTATTATGTCCTCTTCACCTCCTCCTCCTCCCCACTGTAGCAGTGTGTTGAGAACTGTGGAGAGCTGGGCTGTGAAACAGCCCTGTGTATAGAAGCACCGTTGGTACTGAGAAGGGGGGACCGAGGTACCGAGGAGACAGATAAGTCTCTGTGGTGCAGGAGTTGTTGTGATGTGGCCAAGGTCAGTGCCGGTGTGACAGGTGAGCACGGTATAATGTGCTGCATTGTATTCAGAGGTGTCTGGTTGAAATTCATGGTGCCAACAGATTTCAGAGTCGTAGCTGTGTTAGTCTGTATCAGCAAACACAATGAGGAGTCCTTGTGACACCTTAGAGACTAACAAATTTATTTAAGCATAAGCTTTTGTGGGCTAAACCCCACTTCATCAGATGCATGGAGCGAAAAATACAGTAAGCAGTATATATATTACAGCACATGAAAAGATGGGAGTTGCCTTACCAAGTGGGGGATTAGTGCTAATGAGGCCAATTCAGTTAAGGAGGAAGTGGCCTATTCTCAACAGTTGACAAGAAGGGGTGAATATCAAGAGAGGGGAAATTACTTTTGTAGTGCTAATGAGCCAATGCAATCAAGGTGGATGTTGCCCATTTCCAACAGTTGACAAGAAGGTGTGAGTATCAGCAGAGGGAAAACTACTTTTTGTAGTGACCCATCCACTCCCAGTCTTTATTCAGGCCTAATCTGATGGTGTCCAGTTTGCAAATTAATTCCAGTTTTGCAGTTTCTCATTGAAGTCTGTTTTTGAAGTTTTTTGTTGAAGAATTGCCACTTTTAAGTCTGTTATTGAGTGTCCAGGGAGATTGAAGTGCTCTCCTACTGGTTTTTGAATGTTACAATTCTTGATGTCTGATTTGGGTCCATTTATTTTTTTGCGTAGCGACTGTCCGGTTTGGCCAATGTACATGGCAGAGGGGCATTACTGGCACATGATGGCATATATCACATTGGTAGATATGCAGGTGAACAAGCCCCTGATGGTGTGGCTGATGTGGTTAGGTCCTATGATGGTGTCCCTTGAATAGATATGCAGACAGAGTTGGCAACGGGGTTTGTTGCAGGGATTGGTTCCTGGGTTAGTGTTTTTGTTGTGTGGTGTGTAGTTGCTGGTGAGTATTTGCTTCAGGCTGGGGGGCTGTCTGTAAGCGAGGACTGGCCTGTCTCCCAAGGTCTGTGAGAGTGAGGGATCATCCCTACATTTATTCTTTTGTGTAGAGCGGACACAAATCAGACATCAAGAATTGTAACATTCAAAAACCAGTAGGAGAGCACTTCATACTGCTGATGAATGCTCTGACTAGAGCCAAGGGCGGTAGAGAAGGAAGTGTGGGGGGGATTGGCCACACAGCATCAATTAACCACCTGAGGCAGCATGAAACAGGGTCTGCGCATGTGCAGCCCAACCGGGCATGGCTACCTTAAATCTCTGGCTATGAGCGCAGGGATGCATCAACACCTAAAGTGGAGCACCCACAGGGACAGCACTTGAAGAAGAACAGGAGGCTACACTGTAGCCCTACACATTTATTTAAGCTCTTTTGTAGCTTACCATACATTTTCTTAGACTCCTACTTTTTCCAATTTTTATTATGTTAGAAAATGGTAAAGGATGTATTTATTTATTACACGAGGATTATAGTTTTTAGTCATGATTTGTGTTGAGCTACATTTGAATGGAAATTGGAATTGAATTGAAAATGCACAAACAGCATTTTAAAATAGTTTTCCTCAGTAAATAAAACTATGTTAAATGTGCTAGATGCCTAAGAAAAAAAATATCAAAACATGTTTTACATTTAAAAGTAACTGTTTTATTATTAATGCCTTTGTTTATCTGTAGTTATTTAATTGAACCGATTCATTGTGTTTTCTTAGGGTTTATGCAGTGTGCCTCAGGTAGCATGTGACCAGGTCCCAACAATGTCCTTCAAGATTTCAGAACTAGTAGATCTTATCCTTTCACACCTCATTTCTACTCATAGATTGGAAGAGAAAAACAAGCATTCCTGCTTTTTCCCCTCCCAATTGGTTTCTCAACTTTGAAAGGGGTAGTCATTGAACTGAACTACTTATATAAACTGAAATGAAGAAAATATTCTCTCTGTGCCTGTAAAAGAGGCTACTCATGACAAAAGCTGGGTTATCACGTCAATAAACATTGGTTCCAGGTGCTTAGCCAGTGACTTCCAACTCAGCAGTAGCCTCTTCTTCTGGTGCAGAGAGGAATACTTGTTTCTTTTCAGTTTATATAAGTAGTTCTGTTCAATTACTAGTTCATTCAAAGTTGAGAAACTGATTGGTAGAGGAAAACACTTTCAAACTGCTCAAAACAAGTGATTTTTGCATCCTTATCTTTAGATTACTGTCTGTGACATTTCAACTACTTGTACTGACAAATAATTAAAGGAAAGGCTCTTTGCAGTGTTGTTGTAACTATGTTGGCCCTGAGATATGAGAGAGACAAGGTTGGTGAGGCAATATCTTTTATTGGACCAACTTCTGTTGGTGGAAGGTACAAACTTTCAAGCTACACGGAGCTCTTCTTCAGATCTGGGGAAGTGTAGTGGGGTGGTTACCCCGCTCCTGCCCTGAAGGGCTTAAAATAGCCAGGGAGAGGGCTGTGGCAGGGGAAAGCTAGGCTGATTGGGGAAGTAGCCACAGCTGGGCTATGCCCTAATCAGGCCCAGCTGGTCCCTATAAAAGGCTGTGAGCCAGAGGTCCAGAAGACAGTCTCTCTCTGCACTCAGCGAGAGAAGGGCCTGGCTGCAGGGAGCTGAGACAGAGTACCTGGGTGGAGTAGGGCTGGGGAAAGGCTGAGGAGCTCTGGCCTGGAAAGCCCAGCCTGCGGCCTAGTAGAAGGCCAAGGGGTACTGGGGGTTGCAGAGGGCAACCCAGGAGTAGGCCAAGGCAGCAGGTCCAAACCCAACCTTGCCAGTGATGAGTAGGCTGATACTGCAGTATGCCCCTGGGCGTGGGGCTAGATGAAGATTGGCAGTAGCCTGATACTGAGGCAAGGTGGGGATAGTGGGTGGGGGTTCCCCTGGGAGGGGGAGACCCAGTTAAAGGGGCACCAGGGTCCTGGGAGGGACACAGGGGCCAGTAGCAGTAAGGCGGATCACCGACCTGCAGAGGGCGCTCCTGGGTCGAAGAGCTAATTCCCGAGGATGACCGGTAGGAGGCGCCGCAGGGGTGAGTCCGCGCCTGATTACAGGAAGAAAATCAAAGTGTCTGAGCTAAATACAAGTTGGGTCAGATTGTTAAGCATAAGGGGTAATGCATGTCATAGGAGGCCACCTGAAATGGAGTGGGCAATAAGGGTTGGATTCTTATGCAAAAGAGGTATGAAGTGGGCCATTAATAGTTAGCTGGCAGGTGTGTGTTACAAATTTTTGTAATAAGCCATGAAACCAATGACCCTGCTAACTCCATGTTTTTTAGTGTCTAGCAGTGCTATAGATGCTGAGTTCCCAGGCTTCCCTCTTGAAGGTGTTGTGGAGGTTTCCATTGAAGAAGAGTATTGAAAGGTCAGAAAAGAAGTGATTGCTTAGTGAAAAACGTTTGCCCCTGTGTAATACGGTGTTTTTGTCTTATTTTTCTGTGTGAATTCATTCAATAAATGGTAAAAGACAAAAATAGTGTGTGTGTGTGTGTGTGTGTGTGTGTGAGAGAGAGAGAAAGAGAGAGAAACTGGTCTGTTTCTTATGGTGGGGAAAGTTGGGGATAGGGTATTGGAAGACTGGCATCCCTCCTAGGGCAGAACTGAGGATGTGATGTAATGAACTAAAATAATTAGCGTGACTTGCCTGAGTATCTCCAGTTTGCAGGTTTCATCCTTCAATCCTACACAAAGCTGCTGCACTCCTGAATATCCCACTAACATTGAATCTCCCAGTTCATTTCTCTCCAGGTCCAGCTTTCTCAGAGTCTGATTGGTACTGAGGACAGAGGAAAGATCCCCACAACAAACAGCTGTGAGTGTGCAGTAAGACAGCCTGTAGAGATTTAGAATAGCGTTAGGGTTCGAAATCTTCCTTTTTGCTACCTAATTTGTGGGGTAAAGGAAAATGAGAATTGTCTTATGTTAATTGAACAATAGAGAGAAGCAGTGAATGGCAGACACACAAACACAGGCAAAGAACAACAAGGAGTCAGACTAACACGGCTACCCCCGATACAGGCAAAGAAAATGCATTTTATATAGATACATGGAATTCAAACAAAGTAAAACAAGCATCTATCATTGGGAATATAAAACGTATTACAGGAAACTTTTTTTTACAAAAATTACACAAATAAATGTCCAATTGGTGATGTCTCCCCATCAGGTTCTGGACACTAAAGATAGAAGTGATGCTATTACAGGTGTTTGGAATTGTTTACAGGTCAAATGGATTATATCTAAAAAGCATCCAAAAAAACACTGAGACTCCAAAACCACACCTCTATTTCACCTCCAGCTGCTGTAAGGGAGCGGTCTCAGATGCTCACTTCTGACTGATGGGAGGGTGTCCCACCTCTTATGGCTCCTTATCTTCACACTGACATGGGTGAGAGTGATGTGGGAGGGCAGAGAACTGTCCTCTCTCTTTCCTACATGCAGTGTGTGGTCTGGGATATTCTAGCAATACCTCTGACTGAGGTGACCACTCATACCACAAGGCCTGGATTAGTGCTGTTGGATTGGACCTTAATTACCATTAGCTATTTCTTTCATTTATTCAAGATTTCAAAACAGTTATATATTTTGGGCCACAGGTGTGCCCTTCAGATATGCAGTGAGGAGAAAGACCTGTTAGTGAACTATTGGTTGTCACCACAGCCCTCAAGTTCCAGGAAGATCTGTGCTCAGAGTTTCAGCCCCAAGAGCACTTATTTCCATAATTACCCTTTCTGCACTTTTCTCAGGTCTTTAACATCATTTATAAAATGGCACCCAGAACAATGTTCCACATGCTGTCTGTAATGCGCCACATATACACAGACTGGAGAGTGAAGCAGAACTGCACTTAATGGAAAACCGTGAAGGGAACCCCCAACTACTTACACCAGTTTCTGCAGTTTGCAGTTGGGATGTTTCAGTCCTTCACACAGCTGCTTCACTCCTAAATCTCCCAGTTTGCTGCCTCTCAGGTCCAGCTCTTTCAAAGTTTGATTTGTACTGAGAATTGAGGCAAAATACTTGCAACCAGAGGCTGCGATACCACAGTCTCCCAACCTGCAACAGACAAAGAAAAACAGGTGGAATTGTTTGCTTGATGCTCCAAAATTAACTATATTAATTAATCGTAGAATATCAAAGTTTGAAGGGACCTCAGGAGGTCATCTAGTCCAACCCCCTGCTCAAAGCAGGACCAATCCCCAGCCAGGGCTTTGTTAAGCCTTACCTTAAAAACCTCTAAGGCCTGGTCTACACTATGGGGTTAGGTCGAATTTAGCCACGTTAGGTCGATTTAAAAATGAATGCGTCCACACAACCAACCCCGTTCCGTTGACTTAAAGGGCTCTTAAAATTGACTTCTGTACTCCTCCCCAGCGAGGGGAGTAGCACTAAAATCAACCTTGCTGGGTTGAATTTGGGGTAGTGCAGATGCAAATTGATGGTACTGGCCTCCGGGAGCTATCCCAGAGTGCTCCAATGTGACTGCTCTGGACAGCACTTTGAACTCCGATGCACTAGCCAGGTACACAGGAAAAGCCCCGGGAACTTTTGAATTTAATTTCCTATTTGGTCAGCGTGGCGAACTCAGCAGCACAGGTGACCATGCAGTCCCCTCAGAATCATAGAGTGTAGAATGTTTCTATGCTCCCCCTATCATCTCCGTTCCTGAGGTTATCGCATATTAGAAGGCGAAAAAAACACACTCGCGATGACATGTTTTCTGAGCTCATGCAGTCCTCCCACACTGATAGGGCACAGCTTAATGCATGGAGGCATTCAGTGGCAGAGGCCAGGAAAGAATTAAGTGAGAGCAAAGAGCAGAGGCAGGACACTATGCTGAGGCTAATGGGGGAGCAAACAGACATGATGAAGCGTCTGTTGGAGCTGCAGGAAAGCCAACAAGAGCACAGACCCCTGGTGCATCCACTGTATAACCGTCTACCCTCCTCTCCATGTTCCATAGCCTCCTCACCCAGACGTGGGGGGAGGCTCCGGACACCCAGGCACTCCACTCCACTCCAGAGGATGGCCCAAGCAACAGATTTTTAGTGTGGCTACAATAAGCAATGTGGTCGTGTCCTTCCCTCCTCCCCCACTTCAACCGGGCTACCTTGTCCATTATATCATTTTTTTTAATTAATAAAAAAAGAATGCATGGTTTCAAAACAATAGTTACTTTATTTCGAAGGGGGAGGGTGGTTGGCTTACAAGGAATTAAAATCAACAAAGGGGGCAGGTTTGCATCAAGGAGAAACACACACAACTGTCACACCGAAGCCTGGCCAGTCATGAAACTGGTTTTCAAAGCCTCTCTGATGTGCAGTGTGCCTTGCTGTGCTCTTCTAATCACCCTGGTGTCTGGCTGCTCAAAATCACACAGCAAGCAGCAATAACAATGGGAATGTTGGTTGCGCTGAGGTCTGACCTAGTCAGCAAACAGCATCAGCGAGCTTTTAAAGTGCATGATGGTGAGCTGAGTGGGCTCCATGCTTGCCGTGGTATGGCTTTTGCATGGGTAACCCAGGAAAAAAGGTGCGAAACGATTGACAGTCGTTGCTTTCACGGAGGGAGGGGCGACTGACGACATGTACCCAAAACCACCTGTGACAATGTTTTTGCCCCATCAGGCATTGGGAGCTTAACCCAGAATTTCAATGGGCGGCAGAGACTGCGGGAACTGTGGGATAGCTACCCACAGTGCAATGCTCCATAAGTCCATGCTAGACACAGTAGTGAGGACGCACTCCGCCGACTTAATGTGCTTAGTGGGGACATACACAATCGACTGTATAAAATCGATTTCTAAAAATTGACTTCTATAAAATCAATTTAATTTCGTAGTGTAGACATACCCTGAGGAAGGAGATTCCACCACCTCCCTAGGTAACCTATTCCAGTGCTTCACCACCCTCCTAGTGAAAAAGTTTTTCCTAATATCCAACCTAAACCTCCCCCACTGCAACTTGAGACTATTACTCCTTGTTCTGTCATCTGCTACCACTGAAAACAGTCTAGCTCAGGGGCGGGCAAACTTTTTGGTCTTAGGTTTCAGAGCACCAGGACAGGCAGCCACACCGCCTGGCTGCAGCCAGCCACGCCACCGTACAGCACAGAGCAGCAGGTCAGGCCAGGCTTTGGAGCTGTGCTGCCCCAGGAGCTCGCAGCCCCACCGCCCAGAGCATTGCGCCGGCGGTGGAGCGAGCTGAGGCTGCGGGGGAGGGGGAACAGCAGGGGAGGGGCCGGGGGCTAACCTCCCGGGGCAGGAGTTCAGGGGCCGGGCAGGAGGGTCCCGCAGGCCGGATGTGGCCCGCGGGCCATAGTTTGCCCACCTCTGGTCTAGCTCCATCCTCTTTGGAACCCCCTTTCAAGTAGTTGAAAGCAGTTATCAAATCCCCCCTCATTCTTCTCTTCTGCAGACTAAATAATCCCAGTTCCCTCAGCCTCTCCTCATAAATCATGTGCTCCAGCCCCCTAATCAGTTTTGTTGCCCTCCACTGAACTCTTTCCAATTTTTCCACATCATGTGAGGCCTCACCAATGCCAAATAGAGGGGAATAATTACGTCCCTCAATCTGCGGGCAATGCCCCTACTTATACAGCCCAAAATGCTGTTAGCCTTCTTGGCAACAAGGGCACACTGTTGACTCATATCCAGCTTCTCGTCCACTGTAACCCCTAGGTCCTTTTCTGCAGAACTGCTGCCTAGCCATTTGGTCCCTAGTCTCTAGCAGTGCATGGGATTCTTCCGTCCTAAGTGCAGGACTCTGCACTTGTCCTTGTTGAAACTCATCAGATTTCTTTTGGCCCAATCCTCTAATTTGTCTAGGTCCCTCTATATCCTATCCCTACCCTCCAGCGTATCTACCACTCCTCCCAGTTTAGTGTCATCTGCAAACTTGCTGAGGGTGCAATCCACGCCATCCTCCAGATCATTAATGAATATATTAAACAAAACTGGCCCCAGGACCGACCTTTGGGGCACTCTGCTTGATACCGGCTGCCAACTAGAAATGGAGCCATTTGTCACTACCCGTTGAGCCCAATGATCTAACCAGCTTTCTATCCACCTTATAGTCCATTCATCCAGCCCATGCTTCTTTAATGCTAGCAAGAATACTGTGGGAGACCG